GGTTGAACTGAGCCGTGTTCGGGCAGCGCATCTTTTTTTTTTTTTTTGCTCCGCCAGCCTAAAGCCAGTCTGGAGCCGGGGGTCATAACATCTGGCAATTTTGGCCAGGAACAAAGTTTTACGTTAAGCCGGTTTACGTGAACCCGGAAGCAATAGCAACGTGGGAGCCTATCCTTAGCGTGTATGAGCAAATCTAATGGGGAACTTACTTTTGCCGAAGTGCCGAAAAAGCCGGAACAAAAACACAGATGAAGAAACGGTAACATTTATTTACATCACATATTCATACACTTGTTTAAGGTGTCAGTGTACTGGTGTGGGGTGTATTGTCAGGGAAAAAGTCCTAAATAACAAAAAACCTGACGCCTATTGCAAAGGGGAAAACCCCCCCTGAAGCCAAAGAGCGCAGGGAAAAAACCCCTACAGTTGTTTAATCTAATGTGTAGGAGGTAGAAGGGAAGGGATAATGACGGCCCCGTGCTGGGGAGGGGCGCCCGGCGACCACAGGCGTAAACACCTTGGCCGCCAGGGTTAGCATTTACACATATTCAAAAGGCACCGTTGGACAAACTGTAGGAGCGCATAGCTGCAATATCAGGCTATGGAAATTTCCTCATGTTTAGGGCACAAATTATGGAGGGGCAAGAATATACGTTTGTCCCTCCTCCAGAAGTTTCTTAGGGAACGATGCCTCCTCTGCCGCTCCGTACCTATCCGATAATCCGACGCCCCTGTAAACGTTCACTGAAGGCCTGGGTTGCCGCTGCGTCACGTTGACGCTTATAATGTCTCCAAAACTAGGTTGAAGAGAGGAAAACGTGAATTGAACGCGAACACTTGTCATTTAAGAAGGGCAACGTATGATAAAGTATATGGGCATCTGGTTACATCTTCAGATGATCGAACAGAATAATCAGGTATATGTTTCTTGTCTAGGTTTTGTCACAAATTATGGGGGGGGGGCAAAAAGATACTTTTGCCCCCCCACGAGTTTGCCAGGGGGGCAGCTGCCCCCCTGCCCCCCGAATCCGCCGCCCCTGAACGAGAATGTGAATATTAATATTATAATTTAGAAGACAAAGCGAAATAATGACTTGAATAAACGAGATGATGGAAAAGGGAGGGAAATGCACCGGTCTGTTGTTTGAAACAACCCAACCCGCGCGCAATTCGGATCGGAGCAACCTAACTAATGCGGACCGTGGCAGAACACGTCCGCACCCGTCGGAGCCTAGTCGCCGAATGTGTTTTTTTTTTTTTTGAATTTTGCTCCCGACAGGCCGAGGCCCTGGTCGGGGTAGGGGACGGCAGCGCATCCTATTGTAAAATTTTGCACTACGCATGCGCAGTTGGGGTCCTCGGGTGCTAAGCTCCGCCCTTCGGCATATGACGTCACACGTGTGACATAACCTCGAGCAAAATCTTTCAGTTTTGCGCAAGAAGAAAATAGTAGCTTCAGGAGGCGAACGTGGCCCAGATTAAAGTTTACCCTCTCATATTTCTGATTGCAAGTGGTTAGTATGGTGTTTTTTTTTTGCTATCATTATCTTTCTTTTCAGTGGCACATTGGTATTGACCACATTTGAACGCATTTTACTCAGGTATTGAACGAAACCCACCAGTCCATCCGCGCCACGGTTCGCCGCGCGTCGCGTGGCCCTCGGCTTTGCGTGCCGGCGGAGAGGGGGCGGAGCCAGGCGGCCGACGTCATCGCATATGTGACTTCACACTCTGCAAAATATTTTGCGCGGACCCGAACACGGCCATGTAGGTATCAGGAGTTTGTTTACATTAATGGTATAGCCCATCATTGTCAATTGGTCAACATTTTTGGATCTTTTAATTCGTTAAGTGCTTGCTGAATGTAAGGCATTTATTTTAATCGTTTAATTGTTTTTTGAATGACCTCCTTACAAAATTATACTTTTCATTCATGTATTTTTGTTTTAGATGAATTTTCGGCCACGGGCCATGATCACATGAAGTGCGAGATATTCTAAATGATGAGACTAATTATCAGAAGCTTTCGAGCAATCCCACAGCCAAAAACGAAGCAAAGACGAAACAAATCTTCAAACAAACTTGCAAAGATAAACTTCCAGAGTCACTCATCAAGGACTTGACTTCAACGAACGCGAGAACGCCGGTCTTTTATGGTCTGCCCAAAGACCATAAGCCAGGAGTCCCTCTTAGACCCATCATTTCCAGTTGCGGTGGCCCCACTGAAAAAACGTCTTGGCTACTAGAGCGAATCTTAAACCAACTTCTCGACAAGATACCTGCTCATCTAAGAAACACAGATGAGTATCTTCGCCGACTACGAGAGCAGTACCCAGAGCACCAGCTGCCCCAAGACGCCATACTTTTCAGTATAGATGTGACAAACTTGTACGGCAGCATCCCTCTCAATGATGCTGTATCTGCTGTCGCCGAGCTTCTAGCGGAGCATGAAGATGATATCGACCTGTGCGGTCTATCCACGGAGGACGTCACACGACTTCTGACTCACGTTCTGGAGAACAACACCTTCAGATTCGATGACGACCACTACAAACAGCAAGTGGGGATCGCCATGGGGAACAAAGTGGCCCCTCCTGTGGCCATCATCTTCATGCACCACTTCGAGCAGAGCGCCATCAGAAACGCGTCTCTAAAACCAGATTTCTATGGCAGGTACATTGACGATTGCATAGGAGTGTGGACACACGGTCGCGAGAACCTTCTGAGTTTCATTGACTATCTCAATTCAATTCATCCAACAATCAAATTCACTCTTGAGGACAGCTTCTCTTCTGGTAAAGTAGCCTTTCTGGACACGCTAGTAACGGTAGATAACAATTTCAAATATTCAACAGAACTGTACATCAAGCCCAATCATTCAGGCATCATCATTCACCAAACCTCATCACATCCAATGGCCACGAAAAAGGCTGTAATACGTTCAGAGTTCCTACGGGCTATGCGAGTGTCCTCTGATACAGCCGCCACCTCCCGCTCCTGTCAAAAAATACAGGACTTATTTGAAGCCAACGGCTACCGGAAACAGCTCGTGCGACGACTTCACAGAGAGGTCGCACAAAGCTATAGGGGGGACTCAGATGCAGGAGGGCAACCCTCTCGACGCAAAAAAGAACCCGACTCTCTGGACGGATACTTAACTCTTCCTTACATTGATGAAGCTGTAAACGCCAAAGTGAAATCCATCGTTAAAAAGTCAGGCCTAAACGTACGCGTAGCATGGCGTAACACTAAAACTCTCAAAAGCGCTCTAACTCGTTCAGCTTTCTCTCAGCCACAATGCCCGTCTGGCACACGGACATGTCATGCTTGTGAGTCTGGTCTTAAAGGTAAATGCTTAACTTCTGGGGTAGTCTACAAAATCACCTGTGCGCTGTGCAAAGGGGGGAGGATGTCACATACGTAGGAGAGACAAAAAGACCCATCAGGCTGCGATTTAACGAACACCTTAGAAACGCTAAAAACAAAACACCGGATACGCCCATCGGAGATCATTTTACCGCCACTCATCAGGAGTATCTTGACACTTCAGGGAACACACCTTTATCGGTAGAAATCCTGCAAAAGACAAGTGACCATCCACACAGAAAAATATGTGAATCTATCCAAATTCGCAAACACAGACCGATTCTCAACCGAAACATATCTTCTTGGCACATTTTGTAGCTGTTATCACTCGCCGCAGACATCATGACGGACATTCATAAGTCATTAATTCATACCCAAGTATTTTGTGCCAAATGTGTATCATGGAAAGCAAAGTGTTACCTTTATAGTGATAGGATGAGGTTAAGTGTGTTTTTTCATGTTTCCATGCAGATATGTGCGAATGTAACGATTACTTGAGTGTACCCATTACCAAGTGTGAAAGTGCCTGTCATTCTTATCACGCGAAAAGTAGAAAGATAGAAACTGACGATGATTCGACTTGTACCTAATTTGTATTTTGACTTCCAATATTCTTATATTTGGCATTCATGTGATCATGGCCCGTGGCCGAAAATTCATCTAAAACAAAAATACATGAATGAAAAGTATAATTTTGTAAGGAGGTCATTCAAAAAACAATTAAACGATTAACATTTTTGGATCATGATAACACACTTAACCCTGTCTTGACCGGACTCGAATGACTTGAATTGGAAGAAGGTTTGATGGTTCAGGCATGAATGAGATTCAGGGTTCAAGTTATTGTCGAAACACCTCATGCAGATGACTTGAACCCACATCCCAGTTAAATAACTGACCTGAATATTTCTTAATAGTTACACAATATATTTATAAGTGTTTTTTTTTTTGCAATGCAAACAATTTAGAGATTCCCTGATTTGTTATTGTTACCTTATTTTAAAGTATTACCTTTCAATGCTTATCGTATGTTTTGAGAAAGTTTGAAGAGTTTGTTTGCTAATTCCCTGAATTCGGTACCTAGTCGGTATTTCCCCCTATTTCTGAAAATCGTTTGGGTTTCGGTATACTCGTACTTTCAGTGGTTTTGGTCGGCATCGGTTTGGTATCGGCCTCCAAAATTTCTGAAATTGACATCACTATAAGCATTGGAACAACTTCTACCAGAAAATATATTTTGCAGTGGCTAATATTGCTGTTATTACAATTTGAGAGCCTCTGAGTGTCCAAAGTTTGAATCACATGCTGATACTTTTTTGTACAAAATCAAAAATACTGGCATGCTACCGGCAAGACATGCCAGATACCACGAAAAAAACCTGCGGTAGTGAAAAATTACCGACATGCCGGTAGTGCGGCAGGGAAATTTGGCAACTGTAATTAACAACAGTTATCGCCGAGACACCCAAACACTGTTAGCTGTATTATTCAACAGCCGTCACCGGGCTAGAAAAAAGTGTAAAATTCATACACAGCCGCCATCGGGTGAAACAAACTGATCGACTACAATATCAATCGAAACTTTGCTACGGTTCGACTGCTGGCTATGAATGTCGATTCGGCGCAGAACTCACCTGCTGCACCCCATCCAAACATCTGATCCAGACTGTCCAGCACGATCGGCACCAGGGGCAGATAGAGGAGTGCCACGCGTGCGCGCGCACACTGCTCCTGGAAGCGCGGGTCGGCGTCGTGCCAGGCCAGCAGACTGCGCACCAGAGCGACAGCGCGCCGCTGCGTGCCTGGGCCGCTGCCGCCGCCGCCGGTCCGTCCACTGCAGCGAGCAAAGTCAACACACCTTCAGACCGCCGTCAAACTTCGACAACTTTTGACAAACCACGGTGCATGGCTCAGGAATGCATAGAGCCCTACAGCGACACGGAACGGCGCAAACGTTCTTTTAACATTCTTCCGCTAGCATGTCCTCAGATTTCACGTAAGGTCCACGGTTTAGCCTGCAGGGGACATAAACAGCCAAAATAGACGATTCTGCAGAAACAATTTTCTGCAATAGCTTTTGGCTCTAAACTTGCTCGAGCTTTCTTTCACCAGAATCGCGTTTCTCTGGTCAAGCGCATCAAATAAACTACCTATAGTATGATCTGAGAAGGTCGCTTTATACGAAAATTAATGGAAATTTGACCTAAGATCATGACCTGACCGGAAAAAGTTCGTGATGCATATTAGTCGATTCGTATCGTCGAGCTTGAGACATCAAAGGTGTTTTCATCGCTCTAGCATGTCTCTATCAAAAGTTATAACCGAAAAACTGTTGCATACCTTTCGCTACCTGATATGACCTCAGACGTTCGTCCAAAAAGGCGCCTTTTAGTTTTCTCCCGTTGACTTATAGGTAATTGAAGAGGTCGCAAAATTGACGTGACCTTAGGTCACCGATATCGCTATTCTGTGATGTTTATTTTGTTCATACTGCTACTCTTTTTATTCATTCATACTCTTTTATGAATTACTCCAAGTTCCAAAGCGCTCCGATACCTGGTGTAGCCATGGTAGGCACTGAAACATTTTCTGAGGTGAGGTCACTTAGCTGACCTGGTGACCTAACCTTGACAGAACTTGGTCTGAAACTTTCACTCACAACAAGTGTATAAAAGATGCTGATGTGTATCAAAAACGGTGGCGCACCGTTTTTGAGATATTAGCGAAAAACTGCAGCTGGTGTTAATGCACCCCTTCCCCATCCCCATACAGGACGTGGGTTAATAGAAGTAGTGTAGCATGGATGAACAGGTTTGGCAAAATATTGAGTAAACGCGTGCACTCGCGTAACATTAGCACTAATGGATTGTCACACATTTGATATACACCCGGCTCAGGGCCATGTAATACCGTTTCAGCTTACGCTTACGTCATTAAATTCAACGCTACAAAGATGATATTTACAAAGATCCATTGGGATCATAGCTTATAGGTGCTCAAAATGTTAACTTTCTTGCATAAGAAGTTATGAATACGAAAGTATGGTTAGAAACAAACAATCTTATACAGAGGCCATATTAGTAAAGGGCATCCAGTTACATTATACAGAACACAAAATAAAGGAGGCTCATGAGGTCACAACTTAGAGAATTGAGTGACATGAAGATTGTTCACATACCAACAGAAAAGTTTGCATTGACAATTTACATAGAGGTAAGTCAAAGTAATGACTAATGAACAATACGTTACTAGGTACCTACCACATCACAATTCATGTTAGAATCTACATAATGATAAGACAATCTTGCATTAGACAACCATGAGGCTTTCCAGTTTCCAGCTAACACAATTGATTGATAAACAATAAAAGATGGTACTGACACATGTGGCTTGGCTAGGTAAAGGTATTTCAATCTATTGAAAGAAATATTTGATAAAATAAACTGAGATAAACAAAAGTATAACCAGTATAACGCCTTTTGGGGCGACTAACGGAGCGAGCGAGAGGGTGGGCCTTGCACGTGCGAAATTTCGAGGGGTACCTCCAGCTGACTTGTGCACGGCAACGTACTAACCCGTCTCTAGCGATGTGCCAAATTTGAGCACAATCGGCCCAGCCGTTCTCGAGATCTGGAAGCGGCACCCTGCACGTGCGCACGTGCAGAATGGGTCCCAACTGACTTGTGCACGGCACCCTACTAACTGGTCCCTAACCGTGTACCAAATTTGAGCGCCATCGGCCCAGCCGTTCTCGAGATCTGGAAACGACCCCTGCACGTGCGCACGTGCAGCAGCACCCCAACTCTGGCACATGGATATGCATTACCTAGTGGGTGCCTACCTACATGCCAACTTTCAGCGCAATCGGCCAAGTAGTTACCGAGATATTGCAACAATTACAAAACTGACACCTCTTCGTTTTGCACGTGGCACGTGCATAAGGGGTCACCCACATGCATCGGGAATAGTCCAATACTTGGTAGAAGGAATGAAACTACCCTACAAAAATTACCGCGTGTAAATCGGTCAAGTGGTTGCTGAGATATAAGCGTCGCAGAATCGTGACCATGAGTGTAGATGGGTAGCCATACGGCTTCCACGGTTGACAGTGATGGCATCAGTCATCTTTTTGCAAGCTCGTTAAAGATTTGGACTATACGAATGGAGTACGAAAAACGTCATCTCATGTAATGGCCTTGGATATATACCGTAAAATGATTATTCAGTATCTAAATAGAGCTCGTGACGTCATTTCAAATAACAAATGACTGTTCTACAAACAAACAAAGTGTTCTACCTTCAAGTATAATGAAAATAAATAAAAAATCAAACTGGAAATTCAAAAGTCTGGAGTTTTTTTTTTCTCAAAAGAATGTTCATTTTTTCTGCCTCACATAATTTTACCATACGGTTGTTTGTAAATATCATCTTTGTAGCGTTGAATTTAATGACGTAAGCGTAAGCTGAAACGGTATTACATGGCCCTGAGCCGGGTCAGTGGCGGATCCAGGGGGGGGGGGCATTTAGGGCCATGGCCCCCCCCCAAAGGCCTAAAGTGGCCTGTTTGCCCCCCCCCCCAAAACGTCAGAAAAATTGCTAAGAAAATATACCTTGATGGAGATTTTTAGCCACTTGGTGAAGTAAAGCTTTCCACAGCATAATGTGTAAGCAATATGGTAGCAGTGAGGGTCAGTCAAAAGCTGCGCGAGCGGAGTCGACCTTCAAAAAAAGACTGTTGTTGGCACCTGTTTATGGCGCTGCAGCTGGCAGTTGGCGGTGTTTCGCGTGGTGTGGCATCACTGGCGGATCCAGGGGGGGGGGGGCATGGGAGCCTGAGGTGCCGCTGACAGGCCCGTGGTACCCTTGCTAGGCCTGTGGTGCCCCTGGACCCTGGCAGGCCTGTGGTGCCCGTGCCTCTGGCGGGCCTAGGGTGCCCCTGCTAGGCTGCTAATGCCCCTGGGACCTGACAGGACTGTGGTGCCCCTGACAAGCCTAAAGTGCCCCCAACAGGCCCGTGATGCCCCCGACAGGCCCAAGGTGCCCCTGCGTGATGCCGTGATGCCTGCGAGGCCGGTGGTGCCCCTGCGAGGCCGGTGGGGCCCCTGACAGGCCCATGGTGCCCCTGCGAGACCGGTGGTGCCCTGCTAGACCGGTGGTGCCCCTGCGAGGCCGGTGGTGCCCCTGGCAGGTCTCTGGTGTCCCTGACAGACCTGGGGAAGCCCCTGACAAGCCTGTGGGGCCCCTCACAGGCCCGTGGTGCCCTTGCTAGGCCTGTAGTGCCCCTGGCGGGCTGGTGGTGCCCCTGCTAGGCCGGTGGTGCCCCGGGCACCAAGGGGGGGGGGTCATGACCCATGTGGCCCCCCTTGGATCTGCCACTGATACATAATATATTGATTTGTAAAGACGTTATGGCTTATGCAATTGCAGGCACTTGGTATCCCTCACTTATCCCTCATTGGGGGCTCTGGCGGGCTCCTGAGGGCCCATGTCTATCTCCGGGAGCCCTAGACGGGCTCCTTTTGGTCCTTCCAGTCCACTATAGCATAAGAGGTCTCCACGCGAGTCCTATACATCTGAGGGCGTACCCTGACGTCTGAGGTACCCAACTGCAGCTCCAATGGTCTCTTACACTGGCGGATCCAGGGAGGGGGCATTTAAGGCCATGCCCCCTTCCCAGAGGCCTAAAGTGGCCCGTTTGCCCCCTCCCCCAAACGATAATGAAACCTAGTTCAATCAGTGCGTGGCCCAGGAGCAGAGTTAGACAAGGGGTGTTTTACCACCTCCCGGCCCGCAAAGGGACCCAAGCACTGACTCGAAGCGGGTTAACTGGTCGACAAAAGCAATGGTAAGTGTTTACAAAGTAATATAAAGGCATGGGTCGGGTGGGCTACCAGTTATATATTTTTCTTTTTAGTTAAAAAAAATATTGATAGTGTCAGGGCTGTGACGAAAAATAAGTGGCCTAAATCCGATGAGAAAACAGGATTTGGGGGTACCCTAGGTTTGGCTCCTGCATGAGTTGCCCCCCCCCCCAAAACGCAAGCCTGGATCCGCCAGTGAGCCGGGTGTATATCAAATGTGTGACAATCCATTAGTGCTAATGTTACGCGAGTGCTACAAGTGCGCCTTGCATCTTTATTTTATTCCGACTTTTCAAAAGAATCACAACATCTTACGTTATTAGTCTGAAGGGCCTATAACGGGGAACCTTTTGGAATCATTACGGTTTTAGTCAAATTAAGATTTTTCATTGGTTAAACGATAATGACGTAATAAAACAACATTACCAAAACGTGAGCTAAAAATTTCGTTTGTCTTTTATTGGGAGACTCTCTCATAACGACAGCACAGCATGGCACCACACGTGGCACGATGCCAAAAGTAAGTAATCTGAAGAAGTTGATGCCATTTTTGAACTTGGAATTTTATTTGGAAAGTATTAGAGGTTGGTTGCTATTCTTACTATATCGAAATTGTGTTGCACATACCAATAGCTCATACGAGCATTTTGGATTGGGTTTTCATACCTGGTAGAAGTGGATTGCTGGATTATTTTGAGCAAAACTGACCTATTTGGCTTCCAGGTTTGATTTCCTAACATCTGTCCATAGGCGGCGGAACGGGGGAGGGAGTGGCATCAGGGCACCGTGCCCCCCCATAGATTTTGGCATTTTAACATTAGCCCTACTGGCGTTGCATGGAAAGAATGGGACCAAAAGTCTACAGTGCCCCGCTGCCACTGCATCTATCTGTACTGTTTGTTCATTGAATTAAAGCCTGTTGATGAGATTGTCATCAGTGCTGTCATGAAAAAGTGACAATTGGTCACAAAAAGTAGCAATGTGCATGTTCTTTGTTTATTTTTAATGTAGTACAAATGTTGTTGATTTAAATTCAAATTTAATGATGATACCTAATGATTACAACTGGTCTTAACCATGTCCACAAGTGACAATTCTCAATTGTATTGCACTGTAAGGTGTACAATTATGTAGGAAAGGGTTTCATTGGCTACATGTTGTCGTGAGATCCATACAGATCATAGGTCCTCCACAAATTTTTGCCCGCTGGTAGGGTGACCGGTTTTGCAAAAAGTTTCGAAAAGTTTTGCTCCCCAGGTCTAATCTAACGTATTTGGGGGTGCTGATCACGAAGCCGGCGGAAAAAATAAAAAAATCGATTTTTTTTTTTACCGCCCCGGCTCTTTGAATATTTCCGGTTTTCTCAATTTTTGCATGTTTTTGAATAATATGATGAATGTAATGAAAAAATATTAACAATGTATCGCTAAATGCATGTACCAGTCGATTCGGTATACAGCGGCGTCGAAATCGGCACGCCGCCTGCTTCACCGGCCTCGCAGGAAAGCATAAGGCTCGGAAGGTTTGCGTTAGTTACCCGATTCTCTCCATAGATGGCGCTGGCGTAGCCGCCCGCCGGCCGGTCGTTGCCGTGCCGTTCACGCCCCGGCGGTCACTTGCGACCGTCGTGGTCGTTATGCTACGTCTATCAAAGCACGACAGAAATGTTCACTTCATTTTTATGTTACTTCAGACATATTTTAGACCTAATGTTGAATTGGATAAATGACTGTCGTGAATTGGCGAAATAGTGGAGTGCGCTTGGGAGCCATTTACAGTAGCTAGGAACGTAGGTGGATTGATATAAGTAACATATGACACTGCGTTCACTGTTGATATGAAGTTTATTCACACTTTGTAGTCGGGTGACATGAGAACAAAGTGACTAACATACCTTGTGTACGACACATGGATGAAGCTAATGCTACTTTTCATTTTGTTTCGGTAGGCCCGTTTGTTCAGAGCGTAGCCGTCCTGTTGGTCTGCACCTGTTACAGCTGTGACTGATTCGGTGGTCAGCTTTACAGCCCTTTCGGTGGATTGGGTATGGCAGGGGACCCCCGTTTTAAGGGGAGTCTGTAGAAAGTCGCGCAGCTCATCCTCGCTCATGCGTCGTACACAAGGGGGCTCAATGTCTCGGCCCTCGTCAACCGCTCGCTGCACGTTAACCAGTTCCATATAGTTGTTCGCTTGAACGTTAATTTCCGGCAGCCGGAAGTGCCGAATGGGCTGCTGCTGTGGCGGTGGGGGTGGCAGCTTTGGCGGCGGTCGTGGTGGTGGTGGTGGTGGTGGTGGTGGTGGTGATGGCCGCCGCCGTTTCAGACGCCGCTGCTGCTGTTGTGGCGGCGGCAGCGGGGGCGGCGCCGGCGCCGGCGGCGGCGGCGGTGGCGGTGGTGGTGGTGGCGATGGCCGCCTCCTCTGTCGCCGCTGCTTCTGCTGTGGCGGGGGCGGGAACGGCGGCTGCTCCTGTCGCTGCCTTTTTTGACGAATGCTCTGGATTATGCGGACTGCATCTGCCCTAATGCCATGATTTTCATCGCCGAGCATGGCGAGCAGCACATTTTCCTCATGAGCCATGTAAGCATTCCTCTCGACGCTACTTTGCATGCACGCCAGCGACACGCCAGTGAAGTTCAGCCGCTGGCGGCGCAGCTGCTGGCAAACGCGTCTGAAACGGCGGCGGCCATCACCACCACCACCGCCGGCACCGCCGCCACGACCGCCGCCAAAGCTGCCACCCCCACCGCCACAGCAGCAGCCCATTCGGCACTTCCGGCTGCCGGAAATTAACGTTCAAGCGAACAACTATATGGAACTGGTTAACGTGCAGCGAGCGGTTGACGAGGGCCGAGACATTGAGCCCCCTTGTGTACGACACATGAGCGAGGATGAGTTGCGCGACTTTCTACAGACTCCCCTTAAAACGGGGGTCCCCTGCCATACCCAATCCACCGAAAGGGCTGTAAAGCTGACCACCGAATCAGTCACAGCTGTAACAGGCGCAGACCGACAGGACGGCTACGCTCTGAACAAACGGGCCTACCGAAACAAAATGAAAAAGTAGCATTAGCTTCATCCATGTGTCGTACACAAGGTATGTTAGTCACTTTGTTCTCATGTCACCCGACTACATAGTGTGAATAAACTTCATATCAACAGTGAACGCAGTGTCATAATATGTTACTCAGATCAATCCACCTACGTTCCTCGCTATTGTAAATGGCTCCCGAGCGCACTCCACTATTTCGCCAATTCACGATAGTCATTTATCCAATTCAACATTAGGTCTAAAATATGTCTGAAGTAACATAAAAATGAAGTGAACATTTCTGTCGTGCTTTGATAGACGTAGCATAACGACCACGACGGTCGCAAGTGACCGCCGGGGCTGTGAACGGCACGGCAACGACCGGCCGGCGGGCGGCTACGCCAGCGCCATCTATGGAGAGAATCGGGTAACTAACGCAAACCTTCCGCGCCTTATGCTTTCCTGCGAGGCCGGTGAAGCAGGCGGCGTGCCGATTTCGACGCCGCTGTATGCCGAATCGACTGGTACATGCATTTAGCGATACATTGTTAATATTTTTTCATTACATTCATCATATTATTCAAAAACATGCAAAAATTGAGAAAACCGGAAATATTCAAAGAGCCGGGGCGGTCAAAAAAAAAATCGATTTTTTTATTTTTTTCCGCCGGCTTCGTGATCAGCACCCCCAAATACGTTAGATTAGACCTGGGGAGCAAAACTTTTCGAAACTTTTTGCAAAACCGGTCACCCTACCGCTGGATCCACAGAGATCATAGATCTGACCCCTAAGTTTTGTCGAGAGATCCATTCGGATCATAGATCCAACCCCTGAATTTTGTCGAGAGATCCACTCGGATCATAGATCCAACCCCTCTATTTTGTCGAGAGATCCGCTGAGATCATAGATCCAGCTCTCGGATCCATGCATACGTCTGCCAACACGTCTGTTCATGCGGTAAACAGTGATGGTTGGTACGTTTAACGGTACAGTGCACTGCAGGGCACATACGAGTACATTCGCACACATTGGGTGAAACGTGATCATCAGTTGTCAGTATTTGCTTTTGCTAGGAGGTATTTTTTCAGTTCAAATTTTGAGGCATTCCTCATTCTAGTGGGCAAACTATTCCACAACTTAGAGCCATGATATGACAGTGAATATTTCATAAAAGCTGTTCGCGGAGCAACCAGATCTAGGTTATCCGACTGTCTTGTCTCACGGTCAGATCTTCTACTTATAAAGAGCGAGGATATCAATGGTGTTGTAATCTCCGGAAAAAGCAGACACTGACGAATTATATTCAATACAGCAATACAGTTAGATACCATTCGTGACCTAAGATGACCTCAGGGCATAAACAGGGGTCACGGACACCATTTTCATGTTCAGTGTGTCTAAACCACTTGTAATTCAGTGTTTGGGAGTGTTTATCATGTCTTTCGTCCAAAAGAGGCGCATTTCAATTTTCTCCCATTGACTTATAATGGGGAGGTCGCAAAATTGACCTGACCTTAGGTCATCGATATCAAAATTCTGAGATATATCTTTTGTACATGCTATTGCTCTTAGCAATCGCTGAAAGTTTCAAAGCGATCGGTCACTCGTTGTAGCTATGACAGACATTGAAACTTTTTATGAGGTGAGGTCACTTCAAGTGACCTGGTGACCTGACCTTGAATGACCTTCGTCTGAAATTTTCACAACATGTGTAGAATTGATGTATGATAAGGTATACCAAAAACGGCGGCGCTCCGCGCCGCCGTTTTTGAGATATTCGCGAAAAACCACAAAACTCTGAGTGCATTAATTAAATACCCAGATTTCTAATGTAAATATTTCTCTGCAAGTGCAGCAGAGAAAAATTTACCCCTCTGGCGGTAATTTTACACTTATGAGTACCGGTATCCCGATTTCTCCGGATATAAAAACCCGGACAGAAATAAGTACACACCATTTATTTTGGGTCCCTGTACACCTATGGTTCTTTTGACATACATTATAGCAAATGTACCTGGCATGGGTTTACAGTACCATGCAGATTCGGGTACCATTACCAAGAAGAGAGGGCACCTCTACCTAACAAACCAGAATCGGTGGTGTAGGGCTACTCCACCAGCATGTTTTTCTACCACTTGTTATTGAAAAACAGGTACCTATAACATGCATCAACTCGTAAGGGTGACAGACGCCTCGTGGCCGGTTGCTGCCGTTCCAGTCGTGTCAGTGGACGGCGCTGAGGGCCGAACGGGATGCCGTATACCTATGAGCTGTGACTGACCTGGGTGGCAGCGTGGCCCGCAGCTCCTGCAGCACCAGGCCGGCCAGGTAGTGCTGCTGAAGGAAGTGGACGCTCAGCTCGCCGAAGCGCGGCCGCTCGTTAGCCACCAGCGTGGATAGGTAGGAGGACTGCGAGCTGGCCGAGCCCACCGACGGTGTCGGAGACGCCGCCACCAGAGCACCGCTCAGCGGCGTACAAAACGGCAGATTCAGCGAAAAGTAGTGCTCGTGCGAGCACACGATACGCAGAAAGTCCAGCTGCAATTAGGACAGTGGTTAGCTGCACAGCTGGACAGCGCAGCCACAGGCTATTTGGCCACTGTCAGGAACTCCACTGACACAGCGTACATACGCCTGAGCACCATTCGCACACCTCGCACACTCACAGGCGGCGGACCAGGGGGGAGGCCTATTTTAAGGGAATTTGACTGGGGGGGGGGGCAACCTGGAAAATTGTCTTTAATAATCCATTACCCCTCGCCCGTATTGGTGTTTTCCAGCTGCGAACGTATATGGGGGGGGGGGGGGTCCGTTGGACCCTCCCCCTTGCCGTTTCGCCAGGGATGCGGAGCCGTGGAAATTTCAGACAGCTCCGGCTCCGGCTCCGGCTCCGGAGAAAAAAATCGGCTCCGGCTCCGGCTCCGGCTCCGGGTGAAATGTCATGGCGGCTCCGGCTCCGGCTCCGAGTAAAATGATCCGGCTCCGGCGGCTCCGGCTCCGGCTTCTACTCACTCAGTACATCCCCTAAGCGATCAATTAAATACGGGTGGAAGAAAAAAGGCGATGGGACTGGTACACGTTGCTTCTGCATTTGTATAACAAGGCTATTTTGAATACCACATTGTTTTGCGCCTTGTACTGTCAAACCGAACTAGGTAAATAATTGTTTCCTCTTAACCCGCGACCTGGTGGGGGGGGGGCTATTTTTTGCCCCCCCCCCCTCCAGACTTTTCGATATATCTCCAGAACCGCTGCGCCGATCGTCACCAAACTTTCAGTACCCTCCCGGACATCAATTTTACACATTGTGACCAAAAACTTTTCCAAAGGCTATGATAGGTTGGCCGGAAATGACGTCAGAGTGACGTCATGTTCTGCCGTTTTCGACCCAAAAAAGGGTTTCGCGGGAAGACCTGTCAGGCCTATAGCTTTGCAAATACAGAAAAATGATAAGGACATAAAAGCTGTAGATTGGACAGGGCTACAAACTGCTATCTCGGATTTTTGAAATTTTTGGATTTTGACCCCCAAAAATCAAAAAATAGATTTTTTGGATATAATAATCGAAAAATCCAAAAAGTTTTTTGAATTTCGCAAAAACCGGAATATATGTGATAGTCCTTAACGCCTTCCATCCACATACCAAATTTGAGATTGATACCTCTTTTTTGGCAAAGTTATAGCGAAAAAAACTGTTCAAAATTGATGACGTCAAATTTTCAAACTCAATTTTAAGCAATTCTAGACCCCGTAGCGCAAAACAAAGACCACCATTAGACTCCCCGTGACGAGCTGCATCGAATCAATACCCATTTTATGCAAAACTATCAACTTTAAAATTTGACCTTTTTGGCCTGACCTTGACCTGACCTTGACCTGAACTTCACCAGAAAGTGACCTAAACCGTACCTGATAGTCTTATAACCAACACCATTGAGTTGAAAATGAAAAATTGGCCATAAAACATGTATCACACAACCTTAGTAAAGTTGGGCTCATGTGACCTATGTTGACCTCGAAAGGTCGAAAGGTCAAAAGTTGACCTTAGGTCACGTGATCTAAGGTCAACTTTTGACCTTTCGACCTTTCGAGGTCAACATACATATGTTTCGATGCGGATCGACGAGAGGATCACGATGGTGCTATTAGTTTGTTCCTAGCTGGGATACCTTGAAAGTTATTCGAGAAAAACTTTATATATATGTATAGTGCCGCTATTTTGACTTCCTTTTCGCTCCTGTGACGTCATCTTTGACTTGACCTGAAAATGACCTCAGTAAAAATTATAGACCTTATCCGTGTGTACCCTTTACCGTTTACCGCTTGTCGCTATCTTGCTTTATTCTCGAGATCTCGCTGTCGCTCCCGCTCGTAATAATGGACAGGTCATAAAAATGACCTGACCTGAGGTCAACGCAGGGCGATAACCACTTTTTTATTATCGCATATGAGTGACAATTGATAAGGCTTTAATCGTCATCAGACAAAATTGCAACTTTCAGTGGGGAAATATCAAGGTCACTCTTCGAAAAATAGGACAAAAGGTCACGTGATCAAAATTTTTAAAAATTGAAAATTCGAGATAGCCAAAATGTTTGTTGGTTGATTGTGAGTTGAACCATATAAAGTTTTTATCGTAAAAAACCAATAGTTTCTGAGTTATAGGCCGCCAAACATAGGGCTGCAGCGCGAACTCCAGGAATTGCCCGAGGCTATATCTCGGAAACCGTTGTTCGAAGAAAAAAATCCTTGCCACAGCTGGCTTCCCCGCCGATCACAACCCCTTACACCAGTTTTCAACGAAGAATAAAATATGATGGTGCAAATCTAATTTTTTATTTGTCGATTTGTCGTGGAACGCCCCGGAAGGAAAAAAAGAACACAATGAATTAAACGATTCCGTCCTTATTGGTTATCATAAAGGTTCCGTCCCTCCACCCCTCCCCCTTCGTTGTTTTGCTAGGATGCGTTTTTCGTCTAAATGATCAAGAGCTTTAGTAAATGAAACAGGAATTATTTCCTGCAATATTTTCTAATAAATATCGTCACAAAGAATGCAATAAGACTAAGAAAATACTGTGTGATCGCTATATAGGTATAATAAAATGAGAACCTGCAATTATTTGGGATCAAATTTGAATTTTAATGGGACCGGGGGCTGTTGTCTGCTACGACACATAGCCTTGGCTACGATCAAGGATAGAAGTATGTAATATGTTGTAGTCTTTCCTGCTAGGCTGAAACCCACCAAAGATTGTTTTTGCGTATAAATGTGGTAATGCCTATGTCTTACTCAGTGATAGGGTGTCTAATAATAAGCGGTAAGGGAACAACGCAGACACCCTGAGTTAGCGTGGCGGCTCGGGACAGGCGGTAGAGATAAAAGAGGAGGGATACTGGTAAGGCAACTTATCGCTCTAGGGGACGACGCGGCGCGCGGCGAACGCGCGCGACGGCTCGGGATGAAAGGGAGGGAGAGAGGGAAGGAGTAGGTAGAGAGAGAGAGAGAGAGAGAGAGAGAGAGAGAGAGAGAGAGAGAGAGAGAGAGAGAGAGAGAGAGAGAGAGAGAGAGAGAGAGAGAGAGAGAGAGAGAGAGAGAGAGAGAGAGAGTGAGAGAGAGAGAGACGGGGGGCGCAGGTGTTGTTTTGACGAACTGACGCTAAAGAGGGGGGAGGGGGCGCGGGGGAAGAAATGGCCTGTGGATCTTCTCTGTGTGGGGACAGCGAGGACAGTCCAGCGAGAGCGCTTGAGCATGGCGGAGTGTATAAATTTCTCTGCGTGCAAACAAGAATTTTAAGTGCTAACGAGAAGTTGTAGTGCCACGTGACTCAGACCTCCAACCGTGATACCAGTCGAGGCGCCAGAGGACACAGGACACAGGCCAGGTGAGGGTGGAGCTACTGGGAGGCAGTTGCAAACACCTACCACTTACTGGATATTGCATCTCAAGGTGTCCACTGTCCAATCCTGCCTGTTAATGTGTATGCCTGATAAACAACGATAGCTGCAGATCGATAAGGTGGCGGTCTATAGGTACTTGCTCTGCATGTCAAATTGACTAATTTTCGTGTGAAATAACTCCCGACCAATGTCATACAGTTCACATATCGATTAGCATACAGCCTGAAACACATTTCGCACAAGTTGCTCTCGCAACCAGCTAAATGTCGTATCAATGAAGTAAAAAAGCGCTGCTGAAGAGCAGCGCTATTTCTGATGCGTTATTTTTCACGAACAACGCAAAGTCTTACGTCACCAGAGGCGTCTTTGTCTCTTTATAATACGGAAACGCGTCCTTTTGGGTGGGGGTAGCGTCAATCTGGCTTCGTTCTTTTAACGGGTTCCGTCTTTCGTCTTCGTCCTTTTATGATAACAAAATTCCGTCTAATCTCAGAAATGACGGAGCGTCCCTCCGTTCTTTTCTTTATAAGAATGGCCACTGGACGCAGATGAAGCCGTGACGGTGGCCCCCACCGCTGCTGCGCTGCTGTACCGCTGGTGACACCGTCGGCGGCGCCGGCGCACAGTGTGGCCAAACGCCAGATTAGCGCGAATTTAATAAAAAAACGAATTTTGGAATTTTGACTTTTTATAACCATCAGTCGATAAGAAATTGTCCAAAGTATGTCAATATCACAATACTTTGGTTCAATGTCTTCCTTTCGGTGTCCAAAAAGCTAGCTAAAGTGGACATACGCAATGCCGGTCCCGGCTGTGCTGAAATCGTCGAAAACCCGCGTCACGTTTACAACGCATTTTTGCGTAATTGTCGGAAAGGTTTGGAAATAATTGGAGTGGCATATGACTACTGAGCCTATATTTGATAGTATACCCGAATTCTATAGGTATCCTTGGACTAACCGATGAGTTATGCTAATTTGAAAATGACCTTTTCAGACATCCCCTGAAAACACTGTCCATCTTAAAAACGTAGAGATATAAGAAAATGGCCAAAAAACTCCACGCCAAATCTACGATGAGAAGATTCGCCACACCTTTCTGGACATGATCCATTCAAGAAACCCTGCCCCAACCTGCCCCCCCCCCCCCGCGGCCTTTGGCTCAGCTTTGAACGTATCGGGTTGGCCCGCCCGGGGAGGTCCGGCTACAGGGTGGGCGCGGCGGCGGCTCCGTAACCTTACGCGGATGGCTCAACCGCTGTATTTCTAACTTGTTATATTGCAGAATACGGTCGCCAATGAATAAATCTTGGCAATTTTTTTAACCCTCGCCCATATAGGGGGTGAGGGTGGGGGTCGAAAGGACACCTCTCGGTTTTTTGCAAAAAGCTCATGTAAAAAGCGGCCGATCGCGACGAAACTTTCAGTACCCTCGAGTTTCTCAATTTTACACCTACCCTTTAAATTTCACGACCCTGACCCCAATGACCTTTGACCTGTGACCCATTTCTCGAGACCATGTTTGGCCGGAATCAAGATTGGGCGTATGTTTGCTTGCATTAGCCGCGCGTTTGCAGTCTTTTCGTGGTTTCAAGCGTCTAAACATGTGATATTATGATGTTGGTCCCATGCATTATGGTTGGTGTCAAGATCACTTGAAGGTCAGGTCAGTTCAATGACCTTTGATGACCTCGGTTCACCTTTTTTAGTTTTACATGCTTCCAGGCTAGTTTTTGGAGCTGATTTCGAATTTAGTAAGCATTTGAACATTTAGAAAGAAGTTTTGGTGCCTTCGTAACATGCAACGAAGCAGTCACTGGCGGTTGACACCTATTAATTATAAATACCGGCAGGACTGGTTGGTCTGACCTGACCTGACCCGACCTACGTTCGCGGCTAGCAAAACACCAATACGGGCGAGGGTTAATGACATGAAGGTGCTTATGGTGTAAGTCTTTGTTTTACTCCCATTGCTGAGGTTCAGTCCTATCGGCGCGTCTATTTCAGCAACCATCTACCGATTCATGTGCTTCACCAGGAGCATTCACACAGACACATAATTAGATGGTGATTTTTTTAAAAGCAAACTTTGGACAATCATAAGAATTTACCAAAGAAATTATGATTTCGTAAACGAATCCTCCTACTAGCATGCCCATCATTGCTGGGACCCACAATTTTTTGCCTCTTATTTGCGGTTAAATTCCAGGATTTCGTAATCAGAGTCGGAGTCGTTCGGAGTCAACAGTTCTGACCTCAGTCAGAGTCGGAATCGGAATCAATTTTGGAATCCGGACCAAGACTCGTAGTCTGAGTCACCGAAAATCCATCGACTGCGTGGACTTGCGATGGCTGCGGAGTCAGAGTCCGAGTCGATCGTATAAGTCGACAGTTTTGCCCGGAGTCAAAGTTGAAATTGACTTTAGAAGGCCGTAGTCGGAGTCGGATTAACTCCATCGACTTCACAGCCCTGGCCTGGTAAGCACATCACCCGTCGTAAGCTATAGTTCTCCTTACTTTTAGAGGCGGAACTATGGCATTATATGTCAGCAAGCATTTATAATGCATCATAAAAGGTCTCACATAGGTTTAAGTGTCAATTTTGAAACCAGGGAACCATTTCCAACGGATCCGAGCAGCGCTGGGATTTAATTCGCGCTAAACTGGTGTTTGGCCACACTGTGCGGCGGCCCAAGTCGCTGCCGGCGGGGCCGCACTGGAGTTCGGGCCGACGCCAGCTGGCTCCGGCGCACCGATGGATGCTGCGCCTGTGGAACCTGCTGCTGACCCGATGGCTGACATGCCTGGGACGACGGGCACCGCAGCTAGGGACGGCGAGGCTCCGGCGAGGCCGCGCTACAACCTACGGCCGCGTAAACCGCACGTTGTCAAAACTGGATGTTTTGATTCGGGTGGGAGGGATGTTGTAGACGGCCAAATACGGTACGGGGATCGGTGCGCGGGAGCGGGCCGCGGCCGCTGTGCTGTCGAGGCTCCGCCCTAATCAGTAATCACGTGATTGCCTGGAGGTGTGCGTCGGCCCAGCCCGGGTCGGCCGGCCGGGGAGAATACAGTTCATGCCGAGAGACGAGCGTGTGTGACTCTAGTGGCGGGGATGACAGACCCCATACTGCTATATGAGGGCAGGGTTTTCAAATCCCTGCAACGACTCCTAAAGCCCTGCGCTTTCCATTAACTACGGCCTTGGAGGACCCGGCACTGGCCTAAGAGCCTACATGGATATCTGAGCGTCTATGAAGGTCCCTAAATTCCCAAGCCCATGCCAGTCACTGAAAGACTAATGCGCTGTCTGATGGCTAACACCGCCCTTGGAGCGCGCAATAGCGGCCCACATTCCTCAAGAACGTTGATTTGAGAGGCCACCATGTCGGTGTCAATGGGCTCCGCTTCTCGGTTTTCGATTCCTTGTGCAAACTGGACCTTGATTTTTCGGTTTGAAACAAAATTTTCCCGATAAAATTGTTAAGTTTTCTTTGAACTTTAGAAAAAGTGAGCCTTTTCATCGATTTCTGGAGCTTCGGGGGGGGGGGGGGGTGAATTCGCCCAAAATACCCACTCTGGATCCACCAGCGAGGTTTTGTGCTTTGGGCCGGACCCCCCCCCCATCCCATCCCAAAACCGTGGCGGAGCCCCTGGGTATCACGGAAGTTTTTCTTAAACTACACGCCTGCCCAATGGAATCGCGTCCCTGCCGGTGTGAGAGGGGCTCGCTCAGCGGCGCTGTGTCGCAAAAGAGCGAGAGACTGGCTGGAGGGAACGCGAACGGAAACGAAGGAACGCGAAAACTTCATCATATGTGGGTAATATCCCCGCTCTTTAGGTACATCCTAGCCAAGATACCATCCTAGTAACTAAAATACAGCGAAAAATACATAATTTTGCTTTACGGGCAAACTTTTGGCATTTGCCCACCCAGTGAAAATTTGTTATCCGAGGCCCTCGATTTTGTCCCTGTGCTAAAAACGCATGGCGTAATTGAATGCTGAAGTTACGCAATGTTCGCCTCACCTTCAGATAGATGAGCTGGGCGCCGCTGGTAGTGGTGCGCTGAGACGCCATCTCACGGCAATAGAGGCGCACCAGTCCCAGGACAAAACTACGGTCCATCACCGACAGCAGGTCATTGATGAAGAACGCCAGCGCTGCGTTCAACCGGCTCACGTCCTGCCACAGAGAAAGAGATAAAACATAGGAGGAACTCTTTTCTAGGGAAGTCAGTGTGGCAAATAGGCGTCAAACCTGCAATGTCCGATGGTCAAGTTGAATAAAATGCTACACTAAATCAATCCCTATGGCAAAGATAACATGAATCTGGATTGGACACGACACCAGCCTGATGCAGAATGGGGCCGAAATTTTCGGAATGGGGAATCGACTGCTTTTCTGTGAAAACTATCCCGTTTGGGCTGCCACCTGAATGGTAATATCTTTACTTCGACGTTTTTTTATGTTTTTTGCTCACATTTCTTTAAAAAAAAAAAATGAAAAAAATGTAGTCAGCGGTCATGAGTTGAGTGAATGACATGATGTGTGATGTAGCATGATGGACACAATAGGGAATGTGAGTAGCGTATGAGTCAGGCGCGCGGCGAGACTGAGCTGCGGGACGTGACCCGGTGACCCAGTGTGAGTCATCCGCCGCCGCCGCCGGACGTCGGGGCGGCCGGGTTACGCCCCCTGATCAGTTGCACAGGGGATGACGTATGACAATGTGATTGGCTAATGATGATGCGCGATGACGTGTGCGTGAGAGCTATGGTCTGGTTGGGAGTGTGATTGCTGGGCAGTTGGCTGAGAGGCTCGGAGGAGAGCGGAATATAGCTTTCTTGGTTACGTGGAAGCAGGAGTTCTAAATCGCTACAAGCTATTTCGGCATTTCGACATCATCATGGACACACCGACAGAGACGGGCGCTGTGGTGCAGGAATCTGAGCAGGTCCGTCTCGGAGCTGGACTCGATCCTCGCCTCATCGACGAGTACGACGGGAGCGGCGACGTCGTCGAATGGCACACGCAGGCGTCACTGCTCTGTGAGTATCGCGGTGTGTCGGCGGCGGAGGTGTTGCCCATGCGGCTGAAAGGTGGTGCTTTCGCCGTGTGGTCACAGCTGTCCGCGGTGGACCGCCGGTCAGCAACGGCGACACGAGACGCCTTGTTTAAGGCGTTCGCCATGGACGACTTCGCGGCTCACACAGCATTCGTCGCACGTCGGCTAGAGCCGGGAGAGAGCGCTGATGTCTTCCTGGCGAGTCTGCGCCGCTATGCTGCCCTGTTCGGCGGCGTGACGGACCGACAGCTGGTAGCTGCCTTCGTCAACGGTCTGCCGGCGTCCGTGGCGGACACAATCCGAGCAGGAACCAGGTCAGAGCAACTCAGTCTGGAGAGCACAGTCGCCCGCGCGCGGGCGGTGCTTGGTAATGACCAGACGCAAGCTGTGGCGGCGGTTCACAATGATCTGCAGCGGCGGCAGCGACCGAAGCGCCCACCTCGTCCCAGACGCTGCTGGACGTGTGGGACTGAGGGTCATCTCGCCGCGGCCTGCCCAAACGCCTCGGGGGACGTGTCAGCGCGAGCACTGTCCCCGGAGCAATAGATCGCGTCCTCCCTGTGATCCAGAGCAAGGTAGACGGTCGTGAGCGGCGTGTATTAGTGGACACTGGTTGCACAGACACGCTCGTGCACAAGGATTGTTGTGAGCAGTGGACACCGCGGACGGTGATGATGAGGACTGTGAACGGTGGGTCGTTGCGGTGTAGTGGGACGGCCAAAGTCACCATGGAGTGCCAAGGCAAACGAGTGACGCTCGCAGCCTTTGTCGTGCCTGATCGTCCATTGGGAGTGGACATGGTGCTGGGCATGTCGGGCATCACGGCCCTAGGTGGCATCAGCCTGAGGACGCCGACAGACGTGCGGATCTGTGCGGCGGCGGCGGCTGAGGTCGACCCCCAGGGGCTGGCGCTGGATGCAGCAGACTTCTCGGCCCGGTTCGAGGCACGAACTGGAGAGTGGACGGTGGCATGGAAGTGGGCAGACGGGGAAGGCCCGGAGTATCTGCAGAACCAGGTCGCCCAGTATGCCGTGCCGCCGGAAGCTCGATCAGCATATGACGCCGAGCTGGAGCTGTGGATCCGGGAAGGATGGCTGCAGCCGTACGACGAGCGGGTGGATGGCCCAGTCCGAGGTTTAATCCCTCTGATGGCGGTCCCGCAGCCAAATCAGGACAAGGTGAGGCCTGTCCTGGACTACCGTGAGCTGAATGGTCACATAATCGCACACACTGCAGATGCGGACGTTTGCGCCGATCAGCTTCGTCGCTGGCGGCGGCATGGCGCTCGCATTGCTGTAGTGGACTTGCGGAAGGCGTACCTTCAGCTCCGGTTGGATCGGCGGCTGCGACCGTACCAGACGGTGGAGGTGCGAGGTCAGAGATACTGCCTGACTCGCATCGGATTCGGCCTGAGCATCGCACCGGCTGTCATGAAGGCCGTGGTAAGAGCCGTCCTGCTCCAGGATGAAGTGGTGGCCCGAGGAGTGCTGCCCTATGTGGACGATCTCCTGGTGGACGAAGAAATCGTCAGCGCGGACCACGTGGTGGAGCACTTCGCCCGGTACGGCCTGGACTGCAAGCCGCCGGAGCGGGCGGCGGAGGGAGCACGGCTGCTCGGACTGCGGGTGAGTGCGGTCGCTGGAGAGCTGTGCTGGCGTCGTGACAACCCAGTGCCGGCGCCCCCGGAAGTGCTGACGCGTCGGGCTGTGTTTGCTTGGTGTGGTCAGCTGGTGTCCCATCTGCCAGTGGTGGGATGGCTGCGACCAGCGGCCGCGTGGCTCAAACGGCGCGTCAATGCTCTAACAGCAGGATGGGACGACCCAACAGAGGACGTGGGGCTGCGCGGGCAGGTCGATCATGTCGTGACCCGACTGAACGACAGTGACCCGGCTCGAGGCCCATGGCGGCTGAAGGGGGGCAAGTTGGTGGTCTGGACGGACGCTAGCTCTATCGCGGCCGGCGTCGTCCTGGAGGACCCCGAGGGTGGCGTCGTGGAGGATGCGAGCTGGCTGCGGCCTGAGTCGAAGGCGGCGATGCACATAAACATGGCTGAACTGGACGCGGCGCTCAGCGGCGTGAACATGGCAATCGCCTGGGGCATCACCATCATCGATCTCTGCACGGACTCGGCTACGGTCCACAAATGGATCGATGACGCCCTGACCGGCCGCTCGCGCCTGCGGACGAAGGCACACGGGGAAATGCTCATCCGCCGGAGGATCGACGTCATCCGTCAGCTGGTGGAGGAGTTCAACCTGAGGCTGACAGTCGTCCTGGTGAAGTCCGCAGACAACCTGGCGGATGCACTGACCCGTGTGCCAAAGGAGTGGCTCCAAACACCGGACCCAGAGCCTGCCGCACGGCCGGTGGCTGCCGCGGCAATCGCGGACCCACGGCCGGATGTCGACCCCGCACGGATACGCGCAGTGCACGAAAGTACTGGACATCAGGGAGTCCGTCGGACCCTCTGGTACGTGCGGCGGAATGAAGACGCCCGTGCCACCCGGTCGGCAGTGCGCGCCGTGATCCAACAGTGTGATGTGTGCCAGTCCATTGACCCAGCACCGGTACGTTGGCAGCAAGGGTCACTGAGTGTGCCGCTGACGTGGGAACGGCTGGCGATCGACGTTACGCACTACCGGGAACGGTCCTATCTGACTGTTATTGATTGTGGACCATCCCGGTATGGAATTTGGCGACTACTGCGCCGGTCAGATGCGGCTGAGGTGACGAACCAGCTGGAAAACATCTTCCTGGAAAGAGGCGCGCCCGCAGAGCTTCTGCTGGACAACGCCACGGAGTTCCGCAGTCGTCGGATGGCGGCATTCGCCGCGCGGTGGGGCGTCCGGCTGCGCTTCCGGGCGGTGCACGAGGCGGGCGGCAACGGCATCGTCGAGCGCCACCATCGGACAGTCAAGGTGATGGCAGCCCGACAAGGCTGTACAATCGGGGAAGCAGTGCACCGCTATAACGCCACGCCTCGTGACGGGATGCATCCTAGCAGCGCTCCTGCAGCAGGTGTCTTCCAGCGCGCTGGCCACGACCTCCCGCTGAACATCGACGAACCCGGCCGAGCGGTGTCCAAAGTGGACGATGGCGTCCAGAGTGCACGCAAAGCGTTCCGGGTCGGTGACGCTGTGTGGATACGCCGCCGAGGTCAGCCGACGCGGTGCACGGACGTGTCGCGGCGGGGCGTGGTGACCCGACTGTTACCGGCACCACTGGTGGAGGTGGATGGTGCCCCGTGGCATGTGCGCTGCGTCCGACGACGGTTCGAGGAGGTTGGCGACACAGACAGTATGAGTGACTGTGAGTCCGAACCTGAAGACTGCCTATCAGAGATCAGGACGCTGCGGCTGCACGAGAAGCCGTCCGGTTCGGTGTCGGGGACGGGACAGGACACTGACCCCCCGCCTCCCGAGCCGCCCGATACGGGAGCACCGGTGGAGACGAGTGAAGATGCAGCTGACGTTCCGAGTGAGACGTTCAGCGGTGCACGGGAGGACGCTCAGAGTGAGGTTACGGAAGCCCAACGAGAACAGAATGGCCAAACCGTACTGCGGCGTAGTACACGTGTGAGAAGAGCCCCGGAAGAGCTGTATGGACAGAGTGTGCCAAGCGAGTGTATCGATGTTGATGATGAATAATGATGATGATTACTGATAATCAGGTGGAGGTGTAGTCAGCGGTCATGAGTTGAGTGAATGACATGATGTGTGATGTAGCATGATGGACACAATAGGGAATGTGAGTAGCGTATGAGTCAGGCGCGCGGCGAGACTGAGCTGCGGGACGTGACCCGGTGACCCAGTGTGAGTCATCCGCCGCCGCCGCCGGACGTCGGGGCGGCCGGGTTACGCCCCCTGATCAGTTGCACAGGGGATGACGTATGACAATGTGATTGGCTAATGATGATGCGCGATGACGTGTGCGTGAGAGCTATGGTCTGGTTGGGAGTGTGATTGCTGGGCAGTTGGCTGAGAGGCTCGGAGGAGAGCGGAATATAGCTTTCTTGGTTACGTGGAAGCAGGAGTTCTAAATCGCTACAAAAAACGTGTTTTATTAGGACCGTATATTGCAGCATTCACAAGTGGTTATCAGCTATGCAATGGTTACA